AGGGTTTGACACTGAAAGAGGGGAGATTGAGATGAGATGTGGGGAAGAACTTGTTTGCTGTGAGGGTGGTGAGAGCCTGGCCCAGGTTGCCCAGAGAAGCTGTGGCTGCCCCATCCCTGGAGGGGTTCAAGGGCAGGTTGGAGGGGGCTTTGAGCAACCTGGTGTGGTGGGAGGTGTCCCTGCCCAGGGCACGGGGTAGAACCGGATTATGTTTAAGGCCCCTTCCAACCCAAACCATTCTACGATTCTATACTGAACCCACTGCACATCTTACAACCAGCCTCCCACAGCAGGTGGGGCTACCAGCACCTGTGGCAACTATAGCCCTAAGAGCAGCACAGGGTGACCACCAGGACTGCCCATGACCAGGACACACACACAAGCCCAGACTTCTCCAGGACATCATGGTGCTGCAGATCAAGCCAACGCTGGCAGTAGCTCCTACCTGTAGGGAAGGCACAAGGACAATACACCCTCCCTGCTTGCATCCCTCCTGCATCATTCTCTGAAGGTCAGAAGGCCTCTCTGGTGGCCCTTCACCACATCATCGATCACACAAAGACTTACACACTGGACAACTAACTACTTCCACCCCACGGGTGGCCCAAGACACAAGCAGCACCGCAGCATTCATGCACAGCTCAATGTGGCCCCAAAATGCCCCAATAGCAGAGAGCACTGGTCTTGGCTGCCTCTCCCCATGGTCAGACCTGCAGGCCACACGTCATCGGGCTGCCCCCAGGGTCTCAGCCCAGCGGGGACCCAAACCTACTGCCCCAAATAAGGCTGAGAGAAAAGTGTGACACCTCTGCACCGTTCGCTGCAGCTTCTCCTTCCCACGTGGGTTCCCCCCGTCGCACTTCTCCTTTCTGGGGAACTGAAGCTCTTCATTTTAACTACCTCCAAGACCTAATCCTGCCCCTCTTTAGGTATCTCATCTATAGGAGACTGCCTCTACCATGCTTATGTCACAGCTGTGGGGACACGCGCCTCAGAAAAGGGCTTTTCCCTGAACATGTTAAGAATCTGTTAAAGCAGCAACCAAAAGCACTGAAAAATCAAGGAAGAAACCTCTGCAACCTCACTTGAGCCTTCCAGGGCATATACAAGGGAGTCATCTTCTCATCACAGCTCATTTCTTCCTCTTCTCAGTGCCCAAGCTCTGGAATGGAAGCTTGTGGGCTGTTTTCCACAGGGTAGCTGCCTGGTCTTCTACCAGCTACTCCAGATACTTCTCCTGCAGCGTTTCACGGATTCACAGATTTGACAGAGTTGGAGGGGACCTCTAGAGATCATCCAGCCCAACTCCCCTGCTAAAGCAGGGTTGCCCTGAGCACATCACTCAGGAGCATCCAGGTGGGGCTTGAAGATCTCCAGAGAAGGGGACTCCACACCCTCCCTGGGCAGCCCGTTCCAGGGCTCTGCCACCCTCACCAGAAGGAAGTTTTTCCTCATATTTGAGTGGAACTTCCCATGTTCCAGCTTGTGCCTGTTTGCCAGGCCAAGGAGAGAGGGACAATCTGGTTAAGGTGCCAACCAGCCTGGCAGCTGGATTCTGTCCTGTCTCCACACCCTCACACAGAGCTGGCCATCCCAAACCTGCTCAGCACTGCCATGTCTCACTTCAGGGTGCCAGAGCCAAGACCTAAGGTATTATTTGCAGGAAGACCCAGCACCAGCTTTGTGGCCATCTGAGTGCTCACTGAAGGGACCTGGCTGGGTAAGAGGGTGTGAGAAGCACTACAGAAAGTCACACTGCAGGCAGAACTCACTCTCTCTTTTCCCTTCACAACCTCTCACTTCCCATTTTTACTCCATTCTTGCTACAGTAAGAGGTTTACATACATTTTCTAAGCAGGTGCTGTCTTTGTCCTTGTTGAGGTAATGCTGCTGCCAGAATCGCAGGAGACTGTGGAAGTTGTTCAGGATGAAGCCCGGGTATTTTTCTGTATATTCCATCTGTTGCAAAGTGCGCAGATAAAAAGGGAGCTTTTCTTTCCTTCGGGCCAGCATTAGGATAACTAAACTTGTGTTCAAACAACTGACGTTTTCCTAAAAAGGCAAAAATGACACAGGAGGTCAAACAACAAAAAAAAAAAAAAAAAAGAGACACATTGGTTGTACACATCCCTACAAAACCCGCTCGTGGTACGCATGCAGGTAACGTGTATCAAGAAAGAAGGGACAAAGGTGTCCTCAAGAGAAGCCAGGTTCCTCCCCACTCCCAGCCCAGTTCATCACTACACACCATCAGCAAGTGAACTGCAAAGTTACTGTCAGGTCCTTACCTGTGTAAGTGTCTGTACGTGAATAATATTAATGAGACGGAAAAGAAAGGACATTCTCATGGACATCTGGGACATGTAGGATAACAGGCGGCACTCTGACAGGACTTCTGCAACTGCACCAAGAGGAAAAAGACAATCATCAGCTGCTTAAAGTTCAGACACATTGATCCAAGCAACACGGCATTACAGCTGGTGCTCAGGCTATAGCAACAAACCTGTTGTACACATCCCTACAAAACCCGCTCGTGGTACGCATGCAGGTAACGTGTATCAAGAAAGAAGGGACAAAGGTGTCCTCAAGAGAAGCCAGGTTCCTCCCCACTCCCAGCCCAGTTCATCACTACACACCATCAGCAAGTGAACTGCAAAGTTACTGTCAGGTCCTTACCTGTGTAAGTGTCTGTACGTGAATAATATTAATGAGACGGAAAAGAAAGGACATTCTCATGGACATCTGGGACATGTAGGATAACAGGCGGCACTCTGACAGGACTTCTGCAACTGCACCAAGAGGAAAAAGACAATCATCAGCTGCTTAAAGTTCAGACACATTGATCCAAGCAACACGGCATTACAGCTGGTGCTCAGCTCCACAAATGCAAACTGCAGGGGGGCATTTTTCTGTTTCAAACCAGAATTTACAAGGCCCAAACTTAAAATAGCCATTATCACAAATACACCCACCCCGTTTCTCATTCTTTACCTTTAGCATCAGACTGATTCTCAAATCGGTCCAGGGACAGCGTAATGCAGCGAACAAGCATGTTGGAGTCAACCAAGGAACTGTTGATCTGATTTAAAAATACCTGGAACTAAAGAGAAATACTTTTTAGCATTGCATTAAAAAACAAACAAACAAAAAATGATTCATCCTACACGAACCCTCGTGGCTGAGGTCTGACTGAACAGCTTTTCCTACTCTTTTCAGAACGTGCTTCACCAACGTAAGGCTTCACAGACAATCGTGATTTCCCCTTCTCTTCAGAAACAAGAGTTAGGTTCTGAACACCAAAATACTCAGGGTCATTCCCTCTTTGTTCTCTCTAACAGGAGTAAGAGGAGACACACACTCCTGGACTGCTCCATCCAGCCCAAGACAATACCAACACTGTACAAACATCCCTACAGCAAGTACTGTAAAAACACTATGAAGAGAAACACACCAAAGTCCTGGCACCACTGAAATCTCTTTTGAAGCAGTGTCACTTCAATGAGACCAAGATTTCCAACACTATTTGTGTTGAAAGCGGGAGCTGAGACAGCGTGGCTGCTGGCCTCTCCAGTTCCTCCAGATCCGTGTTTTCCTGCACTTATTTTGTACAGCAGAGAGAGCTGGGGAGGAATACAGTCAGGGATTCATACAGAATAGAATTAAAAATTTATAAATCAATAAATAGGAAGCACATGGAAAGTATAAATACAGATACTCCAAAATGTGTGAATTCGTTTACAAGAAAACAACCTGAAATTAAATATGTCTTTCTTTTAAATACATCTCTGCTTCTATTCTCCAAGGTCTGCCAGAGCTAACAGCAACCAGAGAAAAATTACAGTAACATAAGCAAGAGCATGAGGTCCCTCAGAACCTCCCCAACAGCTGATGCTATAGACACAAAGTGCACAAAAACCCTAAAACCACTCTGCACAGAGAGATGCCCATTCTTGATCTACACACGCAATTAAGTTTCATAGGTAATTACATCAGCCATGACTTCTGAAAGTGTCCGAGTTCAAATAACATCAAACATTAGGTATGTCACTGGAACAGGTTGCCCAGAGAAGCTGTGGCTGCCCCATCCCTAGAGGGGTTCAAGGCCAGGCTGGATGGGGCTTGGAGCAACCTGGTCTGGTGGGAGGTGTCCCTGCCCAGGGCAGGGGGTTGGAACTTGATGTTCTTTAAGGTCCCTTCCAACCCAAACCCTTCTATGACTCCATGTCTTTTTGCAGTACCTAATACTAATGAATATTTTAAGTCATCTCCATGAAGAAAACCCCCTCCAGGCTAAAGATTTTTTTGGACCCTATCTCAATGTCCACAACTATCAGCTTGACCCAAACACTAATGACTTCACAGAAAACATTCTACCATCTTTGAGCCCTGACCGGATCATGTAACAGGGCAGTGTTTTTGTAAACAGCTCAGCATTTGCTGACTCAGAACAGCTGGGAGAGCTTCTGGAAAGACCAGTGTCTGCAGCAACAAACACGCTTGTGATCTGGCAGCTCACACCTCCATGTTCACTGTGCACCAAACTCAACTATCCCACCAAAACCAACCAACGAACCTGAGTTTTAGGGCTACCTTTGGTTAGAAGGGCACAAAATTTGACCCACTGGGGGCAGCTTTTTACAAATATTTACCTTCTCATCAGTGTTGATGTACTTGTTGAACCTCTTGAACGCATCAATATTGAATTTCATCAGTTCTCCCAGAAGGTCAAAGTAACTCTGGAGCACATCTCGTGATTTGCACTCGCTGTCAACGATGCAGTAGAGAATATGCTGGTATGGGAGGAAAACACATTATTGCCACAGTTTAGGCCAAGCCAGCAGGTCAGCATAGACTCTGATTTAATCACTATTTAAACATTTATCTGCAGGTTTAGTTCTTAGATGACAAAACAATTTGAGACTTCTGTTAAATTAACTCCCCAGTGATGCAGGTTACGGAAGCGGCCACCCCATGCTGGGTGCTACAAGCAGAATCCACAAATACTTTTCAAAAATTGCCCAGTGAATATTTAACACTACATTTTTGCCCCTTTTAGAATTCATTACAGATTAATCCTTCTTGGTTGCTATGGAGATACGTTACAGAGGAAGCTTGGCATGTACTTCATTACCTCCAGGAGTCCTCTCTTCAGCAGGAACATCTGGTCTGCATAGGAGGTGGTGCCTCGCAGGAAACTTTCAACTGCCCTTGCTTGCCAAAACCTGAGAGATAGAAGAAATGAGGTCTTAATTTTGGAGCCAGAGAAGTATTTTATCACAACTACAGGTTAAAATCAAATTTCCTTCTGAAGCTGGATTCAGAGCTGTTGATCCTGCATAAAATCACTGCCCCTACCGGGTATGAGGCTCAACGCAAGCTTTGGCATCTCCCCCACCTGCACTGCCCTTGTAGCCAGATCTTTTCATAGCTTAGAATTTTCAAGCATTTCCAACTGCTGTAAACTGTATAAAACCAAACTGACTTCCCGATCAACTCAAACCAGCACGTTCCAGTGCAAAGGTAAACCCACCTGAAGGAGGATTCAGCTGGTTCCTTCTTCATGACCTGAAGCAGTCTAGTCAACAAACCTCTTTTCCCATCACACACAAGACTCCTAAAGGAGGAGAAGAAATTACAGTGTGAGTAGAAGGCCTAGGAACTGCCATGCCTTGTAGAACACTGAATCCAGTCTCTTCTCCAGAGCTTTTAATGATCAAAATCCCAGTATTGAATGCACAGGAGCAGTTCTCCTCACCGCCTTTCATAAACATCTGCAATAACTGCGGCATGACTTCCAAAGAAACCCTAAGGCAAAATTATTCATTTCCTCTCACAATTTTAATGATTTCAGAAAAAACCAACTCGCACCTTGTAGGAACTAAGAGATTAGAAAAAAACCCCAACCATATACCAAATTTGAGTTATGGAATGAAAGAAAAACATATCTTTTTTGCTCCACAAATGCAAAGGAAGCACTAAGTTCCATTTAGGAGGCAGAGCAGCACGGAAACCAACATGGTACATGAGGCAGCCACCTTCTGCATGTACTAGTCAAAGCAGAGAGGCTGCAGAACTGCAACACCACCTGGATTAAGTAGCATCTTCAGCAGAGTATCTACCTACAGTAAGCCTGTGCAGAAGCAAGGCCCTGAGTTCCTCACGTATCAAGAAAAGCAACATGGAACCAAAATGTTAAGGCTGGAAAAGAAACCACTTTTAAGCCAGAAAGTGAGCAATGCTGCCTGTCTGGCTACACAGACCTTTGCTGGGCACTCAGTAGCCACTGACAAAGCCCTTGCTGGAAGCGGTCTTCTCACAGCACGACAGACTGTTCCACTGACACTCCAGAGAGATGGGAAGAAGCGGTCTTCTCACAGCACAACAGACTGTTCCACTGACACTCCAGAGAGATGGGAAACTTTGCAGGTTGCAAGCTGCGTACACCCTTCAAATCTTTGAACTGTCGAGTTTGGAAGGGACCTTTCAGATCATCTAGTCCAACCATTACCTAACTCTGATAAAAAAACCCATCACTAAGCACCCCGTCAACCCATCTTTTGAAGACCTCCAGGGATGGTGCCTCAACCACTGCCCTGGGCAGCCCATTCCAAGGCTTAGCAACCCTTTCAGTGTAAATATTTTTCCTAATATCCAATCTGAACCTCCCCTGGCACAACTTGAGACAGTTTCCTCTTGTCCTATGGCCTGTTCCTTGGGAGAAGAGAACAACTGCCCCCGGCTACACCCTCCTTTCAGGGAGTTGGAGAGAGCCAGAAGGCCTCCCCTCAGCCTCCTCTTCTCCAGGCTGAATAACCCCAGCTCCCTCAGCCTCTCCTCACAAGACTTGTGCTCCAGACCCCTCACCAGCTCCGTTGCCCTTCTCTGGACCCGCTCCAGCACCTCAATGCTTTTTTTGTGGTAAAGGGGCCCAAAACTGGACACAGCACTCGAGGTGGGGCCTCACCAGTGCCCAGGACAGGGGGACAATCACCTCCCGAGTCCTGCTCACCATGCTGTTCCTGACACAGGCCAGGATGCTGTTGGCTCTCTTGGCCACCTGGGCACACTGGTGGCTAATGTCTTGATCCGCTTCCTTTCACTGTGCTCCTAACAGGGGGAATTTTTGCCCCTAAATAACTTTTTGAACAAAACCAGGAAGGTGCCTGTGCTTAGAAGGAAAGGATCCGAGTAACACAGACACCATTTCTTCTGAATTAGACACAGTATTATGATAATAATTATTATTTAGAAATCCTCTTGGAGAATTCCCTGCTGAAGCGAGGTAAATCTGCTCTGTGCAGACCAAGTCCCTGCTGATACTCTGGGAGCATTCCGAAAACTTAATTCCACAAACAGTGTTTCACCTTGGGAGGTTTGTACTTCAGACCTCTGTATTAAAGAGCTTATTAAATCAAAATAGTCAATCTGACAGATACTCAAATATAACACTAGAGATTCCTTAAGTGGTTTACCAAGTTAATCTAATTTAGCTTATTCTAGTTATTAGCTGTTCTTAAAATAAAGACCCTGAGCAGACCCACTTAGATGTGGTCATGCAGATGCAAATGGACATTATGTGTGTGCAAACTGCTCCTGAATCTCAAAACTAAGGTTTATTAGTAGCAGCAATTATTACAGGGATCCCAGTTTACTCTCCAGGTGTGCAATGGCTGTTGTGAGAACAGCCAGACAAACAGGCAGACCCAGCACATCGTAATGAAGTTCAGGTTGTGAACAAAAAACCCCATTTTTGGCTGCCTTTGTTTTTAAAGTGCCTTACTCTGAGCACAGACCCACTTTAGATTTGCTAATGGCCATGACCATCCTACTAACCTAGACACTCCCTACTGAAACATGTCATGGAAATTAAAGTGAGGTGGACAGAGGGACCTAAAATAAAAGAAGTGACAACAAACCTCCACTTTAAGTGCTTGCAAAACGCTAGAAGCTGCTGACCTAATACCTAAGACCTAATAGCAGCCTTCCAGTACCTGAAAGGAGCCTACAGGAAGGCTGGGGAGAACCTGTTTAGAAAGGCCTGCAGTGACAGGACGAGGGGCAATGGCTTCAAGCTGGAGGGGAACAGATTTAGACTACTAGAAGCTGCTGAATTTGAACACTCACCTGTCCGTGTTGACAACTGCATCGACTTCAGGGATGTTGGCTTTATGGGAGATCGCACTCAGCTCATTCAGCTCTTGGCTGTTCAAAAGGAGATACTTGTTCCTAAAGCAAGACAGTTGGGGAGTAGGAGAGAAAAAGATGATGAATTCAAGAGGCAGGTGAACATGCAACTCCACGAAGAGTAAAGCTACTAGGACCAGGCAACCAGCTTTCACCTCTGGCTTCACACTCCCCTCCACCAAAGCAACTCCCAAACCGGGCCAACCACCTGCTGGTTTATAAACCTCCTCCAAAATTTGCCAAATTCAAGTTTCAACACTGATTTGCTCTGAGACACTGGCTCTTTGCTGACCTGTTCAGGATCTTATGGCTTGTTTTTTGAGTATTTCCTTCCAGATGACATTCATTTTTTAAAATCTCAGCAACGCTTTGCTGAATTTCAGCAGATTTTAAAGCAATTTTTTTCAGAGTTTCCTACAGTCTTTCTCTGCCATATAGTGACTGTGCTCCTTACTAGCAGTATGCCTCAATTAGAAAGCAGAAACTGCAAAAAATACTCAATCATCCTGGTGTTTTATTACTCTGAGCAAAACGTTTAGTCTGGAAATATTTAAAACATTCATGAAGTGAATAAAAATAAACCTGGAATGGATATAAACCCACAGAATTTGCATTAAATGCTTTGTTTGAGTACTGAGCTTTGCAAAAATTTATCTATGAAATAAAATAAATGCAGAACAAGTCTGATAAAGTAGAAATGCAGTCCAGAGGCTCTGTGTGACAGATTCCCTGCCCAATGTCAGTGCACTCCCTCGGAGCCCTCCTGCTTCAGAGTGCTCAGAACCAGACAGCAAGGATTTATTTCCAGGGAACCTTTGGGAACGTGGCACGCTGTGGGGAGGGGTGCAGAGACAACCCAGGCATCAAAACACGGCAACTACACAGAGGATAAATTTTTAGAGAAGAAAGGTGACGGGCACGCCGTCTTGTTTCAAACACTGTAACCCTGATTAGTGCCACTGAGGCTGTTGGGTGAAGCTGCTTTTGATCTGGATTTCTGGAATGAAAACACAGCAAGGATTTATTTGCAGGGAACCTTTGGGAACGTGGCACGCTGTGGGGAGGGGTGCAGAGACAACCCAGGCATCAAAACACGGCAACTACACAGAGGATAAATTTTTAGAGAAGAAAGGTGACGGGCACGCCGTCTTGTTTCAAACACTGTAACCCTGATTAGTGCCACTGAGGCTGTTGGGTGAAGCTGCTTTTGATCTGGATTTCTGGAATGAAAACACAGCCTCTCTCCACACACCAAACAGTTCTGCAAGTTTGGTTTATACACAGTTTTACCGAAGTTAATATTAGTACATAAATACTTGCTCTCAGCCTGTCCTCGGCTAACTCAGCTTATCTGTGATTTCATAGAAAGTTCATGGAACTATTTGTTTAAAAGCCCTAACCAGATTCCACACGTTCCACTTGGTCAAATGCTATAGCTGAAAGCTGTTTTCTGTTTAAAGGAGCCCGAGATCTTTGCAGTAAATTACTTAAGTATCATCTAAAGAGACTTTATTGGAAAACCTGGAGTGATTTCTGGGCAAACAGTGTCTTTCATGGAGGATTTAGAATAGGTCAGCCTCTCCTTAATTTTACAATACGTCCAGCAGCTCCCCATTCTTAAAGCTAATCCTTCCCAGTCAAAAAGGATGGTATTTTCACTATGTGTATCTCACAGTAGAAGATAAAACCTCCACAAAAATATCACCCCAGCTGTAGATAAGACCAGCAAGGCACCAAGTGAAGGCATATACATATTTAGTGGAATATGCCTCAAGTGCAGATGTTTGCAAAGAACAGAAAACCACCTTGCAGGGCTGAATGAGAGCAACAGGACATTTGACAGAATGCAAGGTGTGATTCTGTAAGTCAGAATAGAGCAACAAGTACGTCTGTACCAGCAGAGGTGGTGTGATTCTTGAGTAAAAGAATAAATAAATCAATCAATCTGCATCACCCCTCAACTACTCCAGCAGACTCAAGCTTCGTAAGTATGTCTTCTGAAGGCAAACAGAAGCTTTCTGCCCATTTCCAACCTAGGTTGCCAATGGCTAGCTGACAGATAATTGTTTCCTCATCCAGTTTAATCAGGTCTTCTCCATTGCTGGCATTTAGACAGCAATCACGTCCTCTCAGCCTTTGTAAAAGGGCAAAAGGGTATGGATTAACCCATCCAGAGGTACGCTGTCTTTCACCCTCATCTTCCAACAGCCTTTGTTTCATCCTTGTTCCACTCTGAATTACACCTAAGCAGGTCCCTGCAGGGTACACACTCAGGGAGGCGACAGATAAACGGCATCATGAAAGCTGCCTCCTTATTATTATTACCAGTATTATTTAACATCTTTGTTGGTGACATGGACAGTGGGATAGAGTGCACCCTCAGCACGGTGGTGCAGTTGACACGCTGGAGGGAAGGGATGCCATCCAGAGGGACCTGGACAGGCTGGAGAGGTGGGCTCATGCAAATTGCATGAAGTTCAACCAAGCCAAGTGCAAGGTCCTGCACCTGGGACATGGCAATCCCAGGCACAAATACAGGTTGGGCGGAGAATGGCTGGAGAGCAGCCCTGAAGAGAAGGACTTGGGTGTGTTGGTAGATGAGAAGCTCAACATGAGCCGGCAACGTGCACTGGCAGCCCAGAGAGCCAACCGTGTCCTGGGCTGCATCAGGAGAAGTGTGGCCAGCAGGTCCCGGGAGGTGATTCTGCCCCTCTACTCTGCACTCGTGAGACCCCACCTGGAGCTCTGTGTCCAGCTCTGGAGTCCTCAACACAGAAAGGACATGGACCAGCTGGAACAGGTGCAGCGGAGGGCCACGAGGATGATCAGAGGGCTGGAGCACCTCTCCTATGAAGACAGGCTGAGGGAGCTGGGGGTGTTCAGCCTGGAGAAGAGAAGGCTCCGGGGAGACCTTATAACGGCCTTTCAGTACCTGAAAGGAGCCTACAGAAGAGCTGGAGAGGGACTCTTTACAAAGAAGAGTAGCAACAGGACAAGGGGCAATGGTTTTAAGCTGGTGGAGGGGAGATTTAGGTTAGATACTAGGAAGAAATTCTTTACAGTGAGGGTGGTGAGGCACTGGAACAGGTTGCCCAGGGAGGTCGTGGATGCCCCATCCCTGGAGGTGTTCAAGGCCAGGCTGGATGGCTATTTGAGCAACCTGCTCTGGTGGGAGGTGTCCCTGCCCATGGCAGGGGGGTTGGAACTAGATGATCTTTAAGGTCCCTTCCAACCCAAACCATTCTATGATTCTATTTCTTCAGCCAGAAAGTGTTGACTCATCACATAAATGCTTCAGTTCCTTTCAACATGAAGCAAAACGGGCTATTTTTAATCATCAACAGACACCCTCAAGTAAGACATGCCCATTGTAGACAGCATGTCCGTAGCTTTTTCACAGCAGGAGCTGAAAGGCACGTGAACATCTGAATGGAGTTTAAGCACAATGTCCCATTCACACGGAGCCTGAGCTGTGGGGAGCACGTCTGTAGCTTTTTCACAGCAGGAGCTGAAAGGCACGTGAACATCTGAATGGAGTTTAAGCACAATGTCCCATTCACACGGAGCCTGAGCTGTGCCTGGGGACACCCGCCGGGATCGGCCACCAGGCAAACAACACCGCGAGCCACAAGCTCCCCCAGCTTTTCATACTCACTCGTGGTGATCACTAAAGCTCTGGAGAAGCCGCAAGAACTGTATCTTTAAAGTAATGTCCTAAATAAGAGAGGAGAAAGGTCAAAAAAAAATTTGTTTTAGTATTTTTGGGTATCATTAGCGACCAAGCGGAGACAAGACAAAACCAGCTGAACTGAAAACCCATCCAAATCAAAGCCCTTTGGACAGCAGAGCCAGTGATTTGCATAAATGGAGAAGGCTGCACTTTGCAGGCTCCCCAAAATAGAACAGAACTGGAGACAGCCTCCAAGCCTATGCGTGTAATGGTTAGTATTTACCTCTCACTGCAAAGGGCAAAAGAGCTCATCACTATTGACTGATTTAGAACATCCAGGTTTGCAGAAAAATAACAAAACCAACAAAAACCACCCAAAAAAACCCAACAAAAAAACCACTCCCCCCCAAAAAACCTGACAGCAATCTATTTCTTGTTCTGTGCCTCTCCTTGCTAGACCCAGTAGCTCTCATTTCCTTAAGTTTTGGTCATCTTCTACCTTTAGCCTCAAGGGATCCCAGAATTTACCCCCTTTCCTAGTTCTCAAAGAAGGGAGAGGCTAAATTGCCAGCATGAGGCAAAGACTTAAGTGAAAATAACAATTCACGAAACCCCGAATGCCATCACATCTCAACTCATTTATTGTACATGCACCCAGTCACTCCACACAACTACTCAGAATTATAGGATAACATAAAAATCCAACACAGAATTTAAAGTTACTCACTGGGCTACAATCACAATTTTGATTGTGTCCATGCAGAACCAGGACCGACGCCGAATGCTTTCTCCAGATCAGTTTGTCAAACAAGTTATTGAGGCCAGGAATCAGTTTGAACTCTGCTATCATTTTATGGACCTGGAAAACAAAGAAAAGTACATATTCATCTGCTGCAGCTTCAAATATGGATATAACGTTAGTTCGGTCTAAACTTCTAAATCTCTTTATCTCTTCTTCTCCTCTCTTTTGGGTGGGGGGCGGACAGAAAGAGGGCCATCTGTCATTCTGGTTTTGGTTAATTCAGCTGAAACCATGACATGTAGTCTGGTAAACAGACGGGCACAATTACATCATCCTCTGACAACAGAAAGAGTGAACTCTTATCTAACAGCATGTGTTTGTGTTTGCACACACACTAACCACGTGATATCATTAGAGTAGCTTCCATTTGGTGGACCTGGATAGGAAACAGAGATTTTTGGGATAAAATTGTTAGCTTTCAGTTAACCACTGTGCCTCTGGAAGCAGATTTGGACATTGGAAGATCACCTACAGCATGTTGAAAATATTTCTAATACCTAACTTCTATGTATCCCAAAACTAAGCTGCAGATATCCTGCTGCCAGTCATCCACTGAGCACCCTTTGCCGTCCTACTTCCCGCAGCTCAAACTCTGAACTGACTCTGAAGTCAAATAAACTATCAATATCGCTTTTGTTCAAGAGCCGAGGGCAGGAGTTCTCAGCAGAGTCCAGCAGTAACACAACCACACCGCAGTTCAAGCCCTGCTCCTTCAGGTTAAGAGGAAGTTGAACTTCTTCAGAGAATGCTCAGAAAGGAAGAAAATGTCAAACTACTGACTGCCCACCAAGCTAAGATGTGGTACATCATGACGTGTTTGAAACAGGCTATAGTGTTACTCATGTAAAAAAGCTAATAATTTTGGTGTGAACAGCTGTTAAATACCTTCAGTCCAAGTTTTGATATTTCTGATGTGAGGAATTTGGAAGACAGGGAAGTACAAAGTAGGACAGACTCTCATCAGCTGCAGGCCCATGACAAGCAGCATCCCTTCAAGTGCAGCACAATGAAAGCCACACATGATTGGGAAAGCCCAACATGCTGTAAAAATTAAGTGCCCAAAGCAGTAATGGACATGTTCCTTAAAATCAAGTCACCTAATCAATAACCTAGGTCAGCCCCAAGATGCAGAATTATAACTTGCAGTATTTCGAGCAGATCACTCCATTTTGTTCTATTTCCTCCAGATCCTGAATGAAGCAAAAATGTTTGAAGCCAATGCTATTTTACAGGCTTTAATTCTTATTCTCGTTTTGCAGCATAGCTAATGGCCAACTTTCCCATCTACATGGAAACTACATTCCCACTGCTTGGGGCATCTCTGAATATCACACCCCAGGAAGAACGTAGCTCCTTCCCACCTCATCCATGTCACCCAACAGATTGCAGAGCTTGGAGTCCTTTGGTGCTTCCTCACTTTACAATGATCTCCTACACTTTGATCTAGTCAGAAGCCTTCACCAAAAAAAGCTCTGAGGAATCTGGCCGAACAAAGCCATCCCTGTAGTTCCTTGGTGGCCAGCATGGAACACACACAACAGGTTGAAACCAAGAGTATGAGCTGCTGCGAGAGCCGCCGTCCCTCGCTAAAGGGGGAGCTCTCCATGCTCATTGCTTTAACTCATGAATCTGCTCCTTTCCACACCGAGCATAATCTGCTTATTCCAAGTGACTCATCCCTCATTTCAGATGTGTTTAGTTTGCTTAACTCTCAGTTTTCACCTGACAGACATGACAAAGCTCCTGAGTCACAGTCATTGCCTTTGGACTGTGCTCTCTCCCAGACCCCAAACTCATTACAACTACTCAGCCTGGGGTGCCAAGACACCCCCTGCTCTATATTCATCCTTCAAACGCCTTTGATTTTTCCCCATTGCTGCCCAGCTTCACATGAATTGCTCTATCCCTTTCTCACTCCTAGAACTATTAGGAGCTTCCCTGTGGCAGGAGCAAGTAAATCACCCGACTGCCTTTCACCACAACACAGACGTGCGAGACAGCCTAGAAAAACATGTGAGGAGAGTAGTTTAGGGTGTGACCCTAATGAGAAGTAAGCAGAGATCCACAATGAAACACCACTTATCCCCAAGGGTGTGATCATCCCCAAGGTGGCAGCAGGTAGGGGCTGAGTCACTGCTAGCACAGTTGGCAATTTGTGCAAGGTAGCCAGCAGTCCAGTTTAAAGCAAGGAATTAGAGTAAGCATTCAGCACCAATTTATTAAGTTTATTAGGGAGCTGCATCATGCTTCAAGCAAACGCCAGACCATTAAGCCGATTATCATACTGGACTGAAGCAGGTTTGTGATGTCTTTTAGAAATTCTATGCAAAATTATTCCAGTATAAAACCAGTAAGACCTTTGGCTGCTCTGATTGGAAGACAGATACCACAGATCCTGGGCTTTTACTCCCTCATGGAAAAAGAGATACACCAAGCAGCTGAAGTGCTTCTCAGTGAGAGTCCTACTGCAGCCACTGCCATTCCCTGCTTATTGGAGCTTTCTGGGTAGAAGGGCTCAGGCTCAGCTCCCGTTCTTTATCTGGCCCCCTCTCAGGGGAATGGAGTCACATCCACCACACAAGGCTGAAAACTTTACGTAGATTTAAGGAACGTACTTCAAAGGCGGTGAATTTTACACAACAAGCTGGCTCTGGACAATAACGTGTTTGGGAATGAAATAACTCAAATCTTTCAAGAATCCAATTCCAGCCCTGGAGAAGGGAACTGCATCCCAGCTTTATCCTTAGACAGTTCCCCTGTCTGCGTAGGGGCAGAAGTAGCAGAGGAAGAACACACACTTGTTTTTCCAGGAAATAAAAAAAAAAAAAAAAGCCAGCTTCTAAGCTAGCGATTTTAGCAAGATACTTTTGACCTTGTCACATTTGAGAGTAACACACTAGAACTGATCCAGGGAGGAAGGAACCCAGCGCCTTCAGCTCCCTGATCCGAGGGCAGCAGGATGAGTACAAGCCTCAAGTCGTTTCTGCAGCATCTATAAAAATGCATTCTTGTGGTGAAATTGGGCAGGGAAGAATTATCTGACTTGATACAACGGAAAAATGTCCTCCTAATAGATCCATGTTCTGGTAGTTCCAGTTATGTCTTGGGCTTTTTTTCTTGTTATTTTATGCCCAATAGAAACAGTACTTCTAAAAGAAATAACAACAGAATTTTGAATTTCTTATGGCAGTGGCTGTGGTTTCTGCAAGAATTGCTAGTTTCCTCTGGTTACTATTGTACAGAATCTATTTCTTTTCATGCTGAGTATGCATTCATAGGCTCAGAGTGAACAGGTTAGTTATGTTCAGGACTCTACTACAAATGCTCTTCTATTTTAAATTCAGATTAAGAGACTTAAGAGACCGCCTGTGGCAAGTATTTGTGACTCCTTTACTGTGGGAGGTTACCAGCAACGCACAAAATACTCAAGATAAATGTGCTCAAGCAACAGCCCCCCCAACACAGCTACTCTTGCCTAATACATCAGCTCTCCAACAACTCAAACAATCTGATCCTCCCACTCTCTAGGGCATCCAAATGCCCCTGCAATTCCAGACTGCTCTGCCAACAGCAGAAATCTCTCAAAACTGCACCAACCTATTGCTTTTCTTTTCCCTTCACGATATGCTTTTGACCCGTTTAAAATCAAACTCCAGCCAAGCTAAAGCAACTGGTTCTCCATAACCCTAGGTGAGGCATGGAACAAATTATTTTACATTTTGAAAGCAAGAAACACAGAAGGAAAAGGTGAGTGAGATTTCTAGGCAGCACCTAGTGCAGACAGCACTGAAGTGCATCCTCCCAGCTAGGAGTTTAGCACCACACTCACTCAGCCAAAATGTGGGAACCCAAGAATCACCCATTCACAAATCACCCCAGAGGATTTCCAGAAGTGAAAAGAGCCAAAGAAAGGGGAGGTCTGAAGGGGCTCCATCCACGCTGGTCACCAGTGCACCAGGAGGTGGAAGAAGACCTGGCTGCAGCATTCAGGGACATCCAGATGCTTCCTGGCACACAGAGATAGGATGTCTCACCCAGGAGGGATGTTCCTGCATCCCACCGGAGCAGCAGCTCTGCAGGGACTGACCACCATCCCCACAGGGCTCAGCACTTGTGACAAGCCCTGCCCAAAGGGCTCATTCTGGTGCTGGACAATGAAACACTTGCCCGTTTGTTTGTGCATGGCTGCAATGATGGGATTTGCCCAGCTTTATGCCTTGAGCTTTGCCCTTCACATTTCTCCGCCCATGACCTAATTAAGGAGCACTGAGGTTTAAAGAGACATCAATGTCTGCTCATGTGACCATCTACAAGTGCTCACCTGATTCCTCTGTCTCCCCATGAGCAGCACGCAGAGAACATACAGCACCTCCAGCTTATACATGATCTCGTGCATGATCTTCATGGACTGGGGAAGCTGGGTTCGTGTCGAGGTGTTGGCCAAACCACTTTCATCCGAAGACTCTGAAGAAGGCGGCAAAAACGTGAGCTCAAGGCAGCGTCAACAGGAAAGGGTTTGTCACAGTTATTACTTTTACACCAAAACACTGCAGGTGTAAGACCAGCATATCTCTGCTTGAATTCTGCTCTTCACTAAAAACAGTGACATACAACAAATAACCAACTGAAATGAAATGCTACAGGAGAAAAACAAACAGTTGGAGCTTTAGAGGTGATAAAACTGTGTTTTTTTTAAAAAAAATTATATACTTTTTCCATAATAAGCTAAATGGCATCATCTACCTAAAATAAATAGAATCACCTATATGAATTAATCGACTACTGCATCAGAAAGGACAAGACAGAAAGGGTAATTAAAGCAGGGGTGAGATTATCAGAAGCATTTACTATTAGGCTACTTCAATTTCCTACCTCAGTACCAGTATACTTAGGCCACAAGTCGAGGAATTTTCATAGCCCTATCCAGAATTATACTCCTAAGGGCAGAAATACCCTTATCGCTGGATGGGGCTTTAAGCAACCTGGTGTGGTGGGAGGTGTCCCCTGCCCAGGGTAGGGGTTGGAACTCAATGATCTTTAAGGTCTCTTCCAACTCTAACCATTCTATGATTCTGTGCTTGCAAGTGGAAACATAACAGAAATCATGAGCAACAGAGAAAGTAAATAAAGACCTAGTGACACTCGTAGGTTGCCAGGTCACAAAGGAGTTAGTTGTGTACTGTGTAAAGAGCCAAGTGATGAGCTGTCCTGCCACAGGACAGCGTGCACACCTTTGAACCCATGTGAAGAACCAGTCATGAGGCAAACACCAAAGAAAGGGAACCACGCGAGTCAGACGTGGTGCCTTTGAAGTCCCAAAGCCACTGGAGATGGAACAGTATTCTGGGAAAGCACATCTAGGTTTTCTTGTAACTGATGTTGTGGGTCAAGAGCTGTGACCAGGTATCAGCAAAATCGCCTTTTAAGTTCTGTTTCAAAATACCAAGTGTTTTCCAGTTTCCACCAACTTGGTGTGTATAAAGGTATGTGCAAGATGCAGTTGGAGCACTCACATACTTCATTTTTTGTATATTTTCAGAAGTCTTAATTATTAATTGCTACAAAGCTAATGAAGCTGGATAAGGAAGCAAGTTTTCCCAACAAGCACCAAAGCAAAGATTCAGACATCACCATTTTTGGGATAATACTCATTCCATTACTGAGTGTTTTTGAGTTATACAAGACATATGCTGCATTTTTGTAATATTGAAGGGTGAAGAAACAAACCAGGTTCTTGCTTCAAATTATTTTCCTAAAATTGTATTAACACTGCCATACACTCACCTAGAGCAATTATTTTTTTCCCAATTAACTTACTTAATTTCGCTGGAACTACTTTTCCTTTTTAAAGAAGAGACTGCTTGCTTGGTACAAAGTATTTGGACCTAAAGCCATCAGCCTAATTTTAGAGCAAAATGCTGATGAAGTCCCTCACCTCAGATGGGTGGATTTTTGTCGCTCCGGGGGAGATCAGTTGTGAGGATGTACAGCATTACAGAGCTATCTAGGTGTGCAAAGGACACACTTTGCCTTCAGACATTGCCTTTTGCTAACTACAGTGTGTGAAAAAAAATCAGTGCTACGTAAGAATAAAACGGGAGTCAGACCTAAATGCTGATTTGATTCCAGAAAAGGGGAATAGTGCTTCAAGGAAAAGCAGCACATGGCAAAGACTGAAAAGGTTGAAATAGGCATCAGCTCATGGTGGTTAGAGGAACACAAGCCAGGTACCTGTACTGCTCTGCTCTGCCTCTTCGTTAGCCACTCTCATCAGCGCATCGAGTACCAGTGCGTTGTCCAGCCAGGTGTACCATTCCTCCAGCTCCTGCAGGAAGCTGGAAGTACCCGTGGTTTCAGACACCTTCCTTGTCGCCAGTTTGCACAATCGCTCAATGAAGCCTGGAATATTCAAAAGTGTAGCTGGAAAAGAAAAATAATTTTATTATGATTTAAGATCACCGAACAGAACAGTCATGAAATCCTCTATACCACAAGGTACCAAAACATCTACATTAGTAATTAGTAATACAGAAGAGTACAGAGAAACAAATTCCATCTGGTAGACCTCACCTGGAGTATTGTGTGCAGGTCTGGAGCCCTCAATACAGGAAGGGCATGGACCTGATGGAGAGGGTCCAGAGGAGGGCCACGAGGATGATCAAGGGGATGGAGCACCTCTGCTACGACGACAGGCTGAGGGAGCTGGGGTTGTTCAGCCTGGAGAAGAGGAGGCTCCGGGGAGACCTAATAGCAGCCTTCCAGTACCTGAAGGGAGCCTACAGGAAGGCTGGGGAGAGCCTGTTTAGAAAGGCCTGCAGTGACAGGACGAGGGGCAATGGCTTCAAGCTGGAGGGGAACAGATTTAGATTGGAGATCAGGCAAGGGTTCTTTGCTGTGAGGGTGGTGGCGCACTGAAAGAGGCTCGATGAGGCCCTGGGCAACCTGGTCTAGTTGGGGGTGTCCCTGCTGACTGTGGGGAGGTCGGACTAGATGGCCTTTGGAGGTCCCTTCCGGCCTGGGCAATTCTATGATTCTATGAAAAAGATCCAAAGATGGAAGAAGATGGTGCACTCTCTTAATAAGGACTGGAAGAGAGTGTACGTATCCTAGGCATAGTTCAATCAGTGTTAAACAGGTTTGTATTGGACTTACACTGGAAAAAAATTAGTTCTCCCCTACTCTAACTACTTGTTTCTGGCCAATTCTCTTTTGCTGGCACCGCTGTTCTGCAGTCCACAGTGAGTCAGTATCAAGGAACTGATCTGGCTGAAAATTAAGCTGGCAGAAATAAAGCAGCAGCCCTTGAAAGTTCCACCACCCTCTTCCTCTCCGTGACGCCACCTCCTTAATTTTACCTCCCGCGGCGTTTGTCTCATAGCAAACCAAACCAGCTCACTTCAGTAGCTGGGCGGAAAGCTGTTAGCTTTTTAAGTGCTAGTTTCCTGAATTAGTTCATCACAGAACAAACCAGATGGGGAACACATGACAGCAGCCCCATGTTAGAAGGTTTTAATTGTTGTGGCGCTCCACCCTTCGAAACAGCAGTTCAAGGAGAGAAGTCACTGGTTTGCAAAAAATGTATGGGGGCTTGGGAAGGTGCCAGGAGCAGCATTTTGTCCTGAAGTTTTTAAAGAATAGCTTAATTATAGGACCTGGTTATTATAGATAGGTGGTTAAGTATTCACTTTGCTACACACTTGCAAATGAAAGTAGAAAAAGACAAAAAATTTGGCCATGAAGACTGAGAGTTGGGAGATTTTGCTCTCTGATACCATCTCTGAAAGAATAAGCTCCCTGAGAAAATTTTTAAAATGGAATATGCTTTACAGTCTTAAATGTAGTCTCTAATTGTGCAAACAAAAAATTATTAGTTAAACATTTGCTTGGCTAAGTTCAGCTCTGCGGGTTCCAAGCTTATTCAGTTCAACTAAATTAAACTTTGTACCCACACCTACACATCCTTGTCCACTGCTCTTTCCAAGCTCTGGTGATCCCAGGGCAGAAGGCAATATATCCCCTGTTAAAGTTCCGCAGCTCCTGCCCACTGGGTCACACCACCTGTCTCTCACTGGGTGCTGTGGATGTGGCAGCAGTTACAAATGGAGCTTTGCTGTTCATGGCTAACACAAAATGTTAGAAGAGGGAAAACCAGCTACAAAACCCCCTTTTTGCAGTTCCCAAAATTGTCTGGCATTGGCCGATGCAAACACCTGCTTCAGGAGCCCAAAAGCTTCTCAGTAGAGTAATAGCTGAAAACTGCAGATTTTACATTTGAGAGCACTTTAATTTAAACCACTTAAACTCATGCTCATCCTTCTAGACAAGCCCTCTGCATCAGAGAAGTACTCAGCAAAACAAGGAAACCTGCACTGCACCCAAAGTTAAAGTTGAGCTCAGAACCACAGATTTCCAAGGATGGTTAACATCATTAATAGTGAACACATTTTCCTTGTTGATAAAGATAGACATCCTGCCCAGGACAATGTCAGATAAAATCAAGAGAAAGAACTGCTCAACAGCAACCATGCTGCATGAGCTTTTAGTTCAGGAATTCGTATTTTTTAGGACACAGAATTACTGAGAGCTGCTAAAGGGCAGGCCATGGAAGTCACTGAGGGATAGAAAACAAACTCAGTAATTGTAAGTCACTCAGTTCAGAGAGGACTGAAATAACAGAAATTGATGCATCTAATTACCAACACCACACGAAACTGAAAGCTACAAAGTAAGTTTCATTAACAGAAAAGGTTGTTTACAGGAAACTGAGGAAAGTAAATGGAGAAAAATGCTCCAAAAAACACAGAATGCTTAGAGGATCCTCTAGAAACATACACTACAGATGTGACATTGAGAGGAGGGAAACTTTACACACTGCTGAGATTCTTCTGCCTTTGTTCACATCATAACAATTACCTTGATTAATTTCAGCTCGAGAAGGACCCAAGTTTTTTTTCTGCTGGGCATTTTTGGCAAGAAGCGTGTGCTTGTCATCGCTCCCTGTGTCAAGTTCCGAAATTGTGACAGCAAGGATCCTGCAGAAGTTGGCGAGCTGCTGCTGGTCAAAACTGGACACAAGGCTGGCCAGATTGGGAATATCATCCAGTTGTATCATTTCCTGGAGGAGGGAACGTCAACTGAGTAAACTGCAAATGATATTCGATAAGGGAACACAGACACAGCTATAGCTCTTCCCTGGCGAGATCTGTATGTTATTTCCACATTAGTAAAAGAGAAGCAAACAGGCAGTGAAAGGTGAAAAGCCTGAAAAAAACCTGGGATTTACAACTGGTGTCACTTAATGTTTATCAACTCCAAAAGTATAGGTCTTCATCTTTTAAAGACTAGGTATTTAAGTCAAATTTTGGGGGCTTTTTTTAAAAAAAAAATAATCAAATTTAACAGACAAATTGCATTTAGGCATTACAAAGCTTCAGTGCAGTTTTTCACTTATCTCTGTATTCTCTTTGAAGCTCACACAGAAGAACTGAGGGAAATAAATCCATGCATCAGTCTTTTTCCATCAAAAGATATTAAAAATATGCTGAAAACCATTTCCAGCAAAAAAAAAAATAAATAACCCAAACATTTATGTTCAGATAAACTAAGCTTGCTTCCTATCTCAGGAAGCACATAACCCTCAATTTTACTCCAAATAATCCAGTAAGAACTTACAGAATCCTGACCCTATCCACAAAATGGACATAGACACGTTTTAATCAGGGGGTTCCCAGGCTTAACAACTGTAACCATTTCTTTGCCTCCCATCCAGGCACTGAGCTGTAATGATGCTGACAAGCAAGTTCAAAATCCTGCTTTCTGCAGAAAGATCTAAGTGCCCCGTTCCCCACAGCCTCAACTCCTGAGAGAGGTGACAAATCCCAAGGTGAGAAGGGCACAGAAAGCCTTCCAGATGTCGGAATACTACTAAAGTATCTGAAGCGTAATGCCAAGGCAAGGATGAAAAATTAATTTGTGAGGCTCATTTTCTTTATTTGAAATACTGCTTGTACTTTCATGACCACGAGGTACTCCCCCCTCATCAGCCTCTCCAAGCCATGCAAAAGCATCACAAGTACGACACCACACATGTAATTTGGCTTCGGTATGAAATGTGACTGAAGTTAATGATCACCCTAAACAGTCGGGTTTCAAGTAAGCTACAAGAGATAAGAATGCTTGCTTAGAGGATCATCTTCAGCAACTTTTTGAGGACTGCTGTCCTTCCTCTACTGGTCTGAAAAGCCATACAGAGAAAATTAAGAAACCAGTAACCAACCTTTTTAACTCCCAGGATATCTTCAATGAGCGTCGCAGTCTGTAGGAATGTCTTTTTGTTTGTCATCAGTGTAAACAGGAACAACACAAAGTCATTTCTTTCTGCCAATCGCCTGGTGACTCCTTCCGTCTAGAAAACAGCAAAGAAGCACACCCAGACCCCTGGTCAGAGCCCACCTCGAGCAGTCGGGTGTTAGAGGCACACGCGGGAGAGTTTTACTGAATCACTGTTCCTGAAACCAGGAAGCACTGGGTTTATAGTGACCAAAACTAGCTCTGGTCCCTGTCTGAAGTTAACACGACACCTGCAAGAACTACAGGCTCCAGGATGAGAGGTTTCATCTCCAGGCAGTTGTTTACTTGCCTGAATCAAAAGTAAACACTGCAGGCCTGGAAATATGTCAGAGCCTTGTCTCTGCGTTCCCCTACAAACTGTACCCAGCTCCCTTTCATGGTATGTAAATGTAGTAGATTCCTCCTAAACTGCCAGCACTGCTCCCAGCTGCGCAGAGTCTGAGCAACCAGAATCAAGCATTCGCCTTAATTCACTCGGTGATGAACCCAAAAGTCTAAAGCACAAACTGGGATTCATCACCAGGTTCATTAAGGCCAGTGCTCATGCTCTGATCTCTGCTGAGAGCACGGCCAGTCTTTTGGGGAATTAAACACAACTTAAAACTACAAAAAAGCTGTCTATTGTATATGACCGACATACTACTGGTGCTCACAGAACCAGACTTGCTCAGATACTTCCTGAATATTTACATATAAGCATAAGACCACTTAATATTGCACACACATTTCTGTGACCCTGAACACTTGCTATTTGAGAGAGCGCAGCAATATTGAAGTGAATTCAAACAGCAGCTGGTCTATAAATTGCAAACTTGTTGCTTAGCATATAAACTATCAACAGTTTGCAAAAGCTGCATTACCTATAGCTAAAAAAAAAAACCAAAACATTTCCTCTCTTCTTCCTCCCATGTGTACACAGATATGTAGTGGTGAGAACATGATCTGTTAAGGCTATTTCAGGAACAGCGTGGTGAGCAGGACTTGGGAGGTGATTGTCCCCCTGTCCCGGGCACTGGTGAGGCCCCACCTCGAGTTCTCTGTCCAGTTTTGGGCCCCTCACCACAAAAAAGGTGTTGAGGTGCTGGAGCGGGTCCAGAGAAGGGCAGCGGAGCTGGTGAGGGGTCTGGAGCACAAGTCTTGTGAGGAGAGGCTGAGGGAGCTGGGGGTGTTCAGCCTGGAGAAAAGGAGGCTGAGGGGAGACCTCCTTGCTCTCTCCAGCTCCTTGAAAGGGGGGTGTAGCCGGGGGCAGTTGTTCTCTTCTCCCAAGGAACAGGCCATAGGACAAGAGGAAACTGTCTCAAGTTGTGCCAGGGGAGGTTCAGATTGGATATTAGGAAAAATATTTACACTGAAAGTGTTATTAAGCTTTGGAATGGGCTGCCCAGGGAAGGGGTTGAGGCACCATCCCTGGAGGTCTTTAAAAGATGGGTTGACGGGGTGCTTAGTGATGTTTTTTTTAATCAGAGTTAGGTTGATGGTTGGACTAGATGATCTGAAAGGTCCCTTCCAACCTCGACAGTTCTACGATTCTATGACTCAGACTCTTAGGATCAGGCTGATGTCTTTGGAAAACCTCCAAGCTAGTAATTGCCTTTTTAAAAATTTTTGTTAAACAGTGCTCCCAAGGTTATGACATAATAAAAGGCGTGATTAAGTAAACAATGCTGAGGATGCTTCCTGAATGCCTTTAACCCAGCATCATCAGAACTGAACTCATACTTAGCACATGAAGAAGCTGGAAGATCAAACTTAAAGCACTTTTCCAGCACCCTGACTGAACAAGACCAGCTGTAGGTTGGGTTAGTAGGCATCCACTTCCAGTTTCAAATTTTAAATCTGACTACAACAAAGGCTGACACAGCTTTCCTATGGAAACACAGATACAGAAAGATCCAAACAAAAGGATTTAAACTTGATAATGTGGCTAAGAACACAGAAATTATTTGAGAAACACAAAAAAACCCCAGGACAGTCCAATGTTTAACTGAAGGACTTTTAATGAAGTTTCAGAGCAAGTTTAAAATATGTTTAAAGGAGCCGGTATGTTGTCTTGCTGAGTAGCAGGTGTAAAACACAACCAAGAGAACACACTTGCACAGCAGTTGTACTTACACATATACAGGTGTTGTACAGTATGCTTAAACAGTCCTTGATGAGGTCATCGCTTACTGCAAAGGAGAAAACAGACATTCACTAGCTCTACATTGCCAAGGAACACTCACTTCCACTGCAGTGACATGAACAGCTACAAAGCAGGAAAGAATTTCAGGCTGTTTGCTCAGATCATACGTGCAAATGCCTTGAAGGGTAGAAACAAGAGGAAGAAACACTCTACATCTGACCCGTTCACACCATTTCTCCCAAAAGTACTATCAGCACAGCCTAGGACCACAGACAGGGACGCATTTGTGGTCTAGTGCACTTCTCAGTTACACACAAAAGAAAATGATGGGGATATAAACAGTATTTTTAGGAAAAAACATCTGTCCATGTGAAAAACTGCTGAGACATGTCTTAGTTCGAATTATTATGCATGGGGGGAAAAAAAAAAAGGGAAAGTTCATGCAGTTTTCTCCAGGCAGCATCAGGAATTCGTAGCAAATTTTTCCATCTGATTTACTCCAGCATTTTAATATTTAAAACATGTTTTGAGTACAAACATACAACAGCTGCCTCTAGCTCGAGTTCAAGTTCCTTCACCTTTGAAGTCCCCTGGCTGACGGGCATGACCATGACATTTCTGTTCCTCAGAAGGGTTCAGGGAAGCAGCAGAATCACAGGCAGGAGAAATGAAAACATTGAACTAAAGCTGCTCCAGCAGGAAATTTGCGCTGGCAAATTCTCCTTATAGCAACTCGGAAATGAGTAGTCACTGCAACTCAGTCAGGAAAACAGCATACTCTTCATTATCTCACAACCTCTCTAACTCCTATGACATAAACAATGTTTTGTGCTTATTATTAATAATTGTGAACTGTAGCTATAGCCACAGTAACAATAAAAGTTTCCAGTGATTGCAGATTTACTGCACTGAGAGAAGTATATTATGCTGAGTGCATGGATGCTCCTGAGCTGGGCTTTGCAACAGGTGACTGTCCTAAATCCCATCATGGCTCAGTACTGCAGACACCAGAGAAACCAGGGATTCATTTAGGAACAGGAAATTGCTGGTATGGAAAGAAAGTAACAGAAAAATAGAATAATTTCTGTCTGTATAAGGACACAAGGCAAGAATAAAAAAAAGATTCAACACCTATTTACTTACTTTTCTGCTTCTTTTTCTGTGTAATAAGAGTTGGTCTCATGAGAATTTCTACTAAAAGCTGTAACAAGAAGACAAAGAATTAAAGGAATAATCACTGGGAAACAAATAACCAATTAATTTGTCAGTGACAAGTCCTGTCTCTGCTGAAGTCACAGAGGTGAATAAAGTCAGCGACAAGTCCAAACTTAGTCCTGTCTCTGCTGAAGTCACAGAGGTGAATAATGGAAGCTCTACAATCAAAAGCCTCTAATACCAAATAAAATGACATTTGACAAAAAATAGTTGTATTTACCTTAAAGAAATAATAACAGTTGTATAAAATAATCTCCCACTGGCAAGTTTCAAAGAATTTGAGCCTGCAAAGAATGTAATTTCACATGCATCCAGATAGCATCAAAGATGGCTATCACACATCTCCCAAAATAACAAATCTTTAGCACTAATCTGCAAAGAGATGCAAACTTTGCAAAAGCTCTCCCTAAATCTCGCTGGGCTTCAGAAGGAATAATGGAAGCTCTACAATCAAAAGCCTCTAATACCAAATAAAATGACATTTGACAAAAAATAGTTGTATTTACCTTAAAGAAATAATAACAGTTGTATAAAATAATCTCCCACTGGCAAGTTTCAAAGAATTTGAGCCTGCAAAGAATGTAATTTCACATGCATCCAGATAGCATCAAAGATGGCTATCACACATCTCCCAAAATAACAAATCTTTAGCACTAATCTGCAAAGAGATGCAAACTTTGCAAAAGCTCTCCCTAAATCTTGCTCTCCCTAAATCTCGCTGGGCTTCAGAATATGTTTCAGGTCCAGACATAACAGAATTTAGTCACTCCAGATTTTAATCTCACCAATAAAGAGCAAGCCCACTGCTTACGTATGTGCACCTTATATGTATACTTACATTTAAAGATACATGAAGTGGTGCCTCATTTCTATTTAAGGAATGTAACAATCAGCTTTCCAAGACTAGGACTACAGTTCTGACTGGTAGAACTGATCTTTAGTTGTTCTAGCCTATACCACTCGGTTATTTTAAAACATTAAAAAAAACCCAAACAACCACAGTTGATTTAAAAATGAGAGGAACTGATGACTTCTGCAAGAAGTATTGCAAAAAGCTCCTAGTTTTAAAATTCAGTTTAAAATTGTTAAGGGCAATTTAGGCATCACCCAGTCAAATCATTCCAACTGACAATATACTTACTTAGGTTTTACAACTCGCTCTATTTGTCCCAACTTAACTTTACCCTTCTTTTAATGAACTACCTACCCAGAGAGAGAGGAAAACATCTGATAGCACCGGAGGCACTGCCCACATTTTAAGCACATTTTAAATAAATAGGCAACTTTTAAAGAGGAATATCCATTTTCCAGCAATATCTGTAATAGTAGCTGTAGCATCAGTAGGGTAGTAAAAAATGAGCACTGCAATAGTGTAGTGCTCATATTGATGTTTCAGAGGCAGAATGCTCACCTCAAGGCTTGGTACCCGAGAGAAGCATCCAAAGATATCCCTGCACACTTGGGATGGAGGCCACCTGAGCTTCTCCTGGGAAAGAACATCTACCGCAATACATCTGTCTTTTAAGGGTGGCTGCACTCATGCTCACCCTTGCCTTGCTGCACAGTGAACCTTTTCAGCTAGTATTTATTTTTCCTGGTCAATACTACAACCCATCATGTATTTATTGCCTTTTTCTTGCAGAACTGGTATGTTCCTCACCTACACTCCAGGGACTGGACTACAGTGGTGTGAGACACTGCTTGCAGAGGGCTTTCTTCAGCCACCCTACTGACACTGCAACAATTTGCAGCAAGAAGAGCAAGAGCCCAATGGCAGGAAGAGAACAGGTAAGAGGGTGCTCACCAAAGGCAGAAGGAGCAGAAAGGGAGCTATAAGGTCTTTTTTCTTGGAATGGGGTTGAATTCAGGTCCAAAGTCTACGAGACTCATGTAACAGTTCATGTGTTTGCACTCTCGAGTAGTATGTTACATGTATTCATATAAAGGGAGGAGACAACTGTGCTTTTGTTCTTCCTCGATGTAAAGGCTTTCACAATCCAAACAAAATTTAACTGATATACTAGCACATGCTATAGTGTACAGAATACACTGAAAATTTAGCATCCTTCAAAGTTACCCATGCTTCACAGTTCAAAATACTGTGATACATGGCACACACAGAGCCAGCAGATTAGACTACTTCCCTTTCAAATCATACAGTAAGATTTTCAAAAACCATCACGCTGGCTTCTACCACCACCTTCAACCAGATTAAACCCACTTTTATCAGCCAAATCTCTGGCTGTAGTACCAGGTAATTACAGTGTATCTGATATTTACCATCTCCAGCTCAAGAAAAAACAAACCCAACCAAGCAACCAAGAAAACCCCACCACACACATATCTAAATAAGAATACACAGAAAATGGCTTTACGTCTCATATGTTAAAAACACTTCTACAGGAAGTATCACATTTCCCTTTAAAAGCAAGGGAAATTTAGAACATTTTCATACAATGTTCTATATTGCTTGGGTAGCTGAGGACTTGTCCAGTAACTAAACCAGGGCTAATTTCAAAGCGACGTAACCTAAATACAAGTTTTACTCAAGTAAAGACACGCTTAGTGTAACAAGAGGGAAGTAGCAAAGACACTGCTTAGTTAGACCAAATTAAAAATATATAAATAAAAAAAGGGAGAAAGTGTCAATTAATTCACTGGAAAATATAAATCATACTTTTCTAATGAGAGCTGAGATCCCAGAGTCTGTCACCATGAAATTGAGCAAACTTGGGCATTTGTATAATGAGGAACTAAAACAAATAAACAAAAAGATAAATTGTCTACAGAAACTTTGTGGTTCTGTTTAAAAACTTTTCCACAGCTGAAGTAGTCCGCACTGGATGCCAGCAATAAACACAGACAACAAGGCTAAAAGAGTGTCCTTGTGTGCTTAAAAACCACCTCGTACCCTTCAGTGGTCACTGAAATTCTCAGTGCTCCAGTATCAACTGCAATAATTCATCTCACAACTAGAAATCATTTGAAACTGTTTTAATTTCACCTTAAGTTATAAACACCACCTGAAGAAACAGTCAGGTCTTCTCTATCATAGAAGAAGCAGCACCTCACTTTTGATGAGGTCATACCTTAAAAAATATTCCCTTTTCACTTTTTAACAGAAACAGGCCCAATTCTAATGCTTAACATCAAATTGGTAAAGTCATTCTTTAACTTACATTTAGAAGCTTAAAAGGTCCCAAAGACCTCTGTTACAGATTTCTCAGTGGTATGACTATCGTGCAGACATCTTTTGATATCAGTGAAAAAACACACACTTACATCGACTCCTCCAAATAAGTCAAATGTGTATGTATTTGGGAAAGTGGACTCTTGAGCAGCTTTTCTGTCTTCTGTAACAAATGCCATGGCTTCCATTGAAAGAAGTGGAGAAATTTCCTGCATACAGTAATGAATAAAAAAAAAGATGGTTCAAAACCAAAACTGTTCATCATTACAAACACAATTGTCTCTGACTATCTGTGTGATCTACTGACTACTCAATTACATGAATTCCCAGCTCCTACCTACCAGTCAATTCACAGACATTATCATGCAAACAGTTTCAAAAATTAGTTAGAATATAATCACAGTAGACTTTAAAGAAAGCCACAACAAAATAATGCCTAGCTTTCAGGAAGAGTGGTGCAGACAGTACCTTTAAGATGCTTTGGCACTGGGAGAAGTCGCTGTTTGGGTGACTGTGTTCGTACAGCTTTTGCAACAGTAAGGGAATCCCATTCCATTTTGCTTGTTTATCTCTTTCCTTTAACAAGGCCTCTGTGATCTGCAACAAAGGAATAATATCATTCCAACGTGCCTGATGCTTCACAACCAGGAAAACCACCTTATCACCTCCTCAAAATACCAGTATCAAAACATAACAGAAAAATATCTTATTGTAGAGAGTACAAATACAAAATCCAGTACCTTTTTCTATGCAGCAATTTATCTGGCAGCTGCAGAATTTTACTGATGGTCAAAGTATTTTAAGCAGGACAGGGCTTAAAGCAGATGTTATCATTTCAAGTACCTTATCTCATGCCATATATTTATATTGATCTTATATTTTTAAATGGGAACACGTTAAGTCTCTAAATAGTTCCGTTAGTAGAACTTCAGTCGACAGGTCACTGAAGAAGGAAATGGATGCTCTTGACACTATCAAAAATTACACTCGTCTAAAGCAGAGAGAGCACTGAAGGTGGAAAGGCTTCATGGTTCATCACATTCAGCTAATAATGAATGTTTCTTCAGCCAAGTCCCTGAAGCTGTTATTGACGGTAGCAGTGACCCAAACCACTAAGATTTACAAGCAGGCTCCAGGAGAATGTATCAAAGATACAGTGAAAATTTCCTCTGCAGTCTTGGGCTGGTTATAAACTGAGACTGACAGCTAAATCAGTAGGAGAAAAACACTGGCATTATCATCTGGGAAGCAGGCTACGACCACAGAAAAAGAACACCTTTGCATTTGCTACTCCATTTATGCAAACTTTTTCCTATTTTCCTCTTCTCCCCAAAATACACATTAAAAAAAATTCTCAATATTCACCACTGTATTTTACACCTGAAAAAAAAAAAAAACCCACGAAGTAGCAGCACTTGACAACATTCTGCTTAGAATCCACAAAATATGTTTTGAAGGCTGAACACTCCCAGGTCACTGCCAGCAGATGCTATAAAGGAGGAGCTCTTCGTTAAAATCCACCATCCAGTTAATGCAGACCAAAATTTAACCCCTTTCCTTAACAGTACTTCAGATGTACCTGCACCAACCCCAAAACAGGGACTCACTCTCATACAGAAAGACAAGGCAGACAACAATAATTATAGCCAGCAGGATTTCTGGCTGCTTTTACAATATTTTTATATGACCTCCAAATAAAAAAAAAAACCTAAAAACTTAACAAAATAGAAAAAAACCCCGAATCTTCAGGCTGGCATGACTGCATCTCAGTGCCATATTATTCTGCATAAGTCACTCCCCGAACCTTTCTGTGCTTCAATTGTATTGTTTCCCTCCAGCCTGCTCAAATGTGCCATGTTAATAGTTAATGACCAGGAAATCTTGCTTATTGTTTCAGCCAAGACATCCTTCTGGGCTATACCTCAGTGTACAGGGCCATTCAATTCCTGATTAGACAATTATATGCAAATATACTCCAATTTTTGACTGAGAATTTAACCCTTTTCTCTGCTAGCAAGACAGCACACAGGAAAGTGATAAAAGCACATGAAAATTCAGCCTGGCAATGGTAGCTGCTACGGATCCTTGCCCTTCTTCTAAGCTTTCCAGGTCCTTAGGACTCTTTTCTGGATGAAATATCAAAATTTGTACATAATTATGAATTTCAAGGCTCTTGAAATACTAGGTTTTCTTGCTACAAGGGGTGACTGAAGAAGCATGAACATAAAATATGTGACATAAAACTCCAGTTTTTAGCTTTTCTCTGCTTTCTGAATAAGAGTAATCAACCACGGAGAATGCCACAGGGCTCCTTCTGAGGAGGCCTTTCACACAAGAAATGGCAGGATGAAACCATGAAGGCAACAAGGTTTCTCATGGTTTGGATTGCGAGTAATGGGTCAGCTCCTCTGAAGTCACAAATTTCCATTTCTCCCTGTAAGACCCAGCCCAGAGAGAGCGAGAGGAGCTCTACCACCACCCCATCTCAGGTGTGGGAGGGTGGAGCAGTGGGAGGAACCCAATTCATTGCTGAGTAAAGTGCAAAGAACACGCAGCAAAATGCCACAGGCAGCGATGACACGCACGGGCTGCCATCCGGGGCTCCAGTACCACAGAGCAGAATTCAGCATCCAAACACTCTTAGAAAAGGCCAAAAAGCCCTTAATCGATGTTAAAACCTTGTCCCTAATACCGTTTTTGTTAATCCCACACGTCTCTCTTTAGGGCTGGATCCACCTCCATCCTCATTTCTGTCCTAGTAGGTCTTCCCCTCCCCGTCCCAGATGCCGAGGGGCGGTCACTTGTGCCGATCCGCAGAAAACTTTCAGAACTGAAATTCTGAAAGAATGAAGCAAATGTTTCCTTGCTCTCATCTTCTTTTAACTGCTTTCAAACAAAAAGAAAAAAAAAAGAAAAAAAAGTTTTTCTTTCTCTTGATTTAATGCATGTCTTCGGTTTCATTGCAAGCTCTAGCTTGTGGTCCCTATTCTGTATTTATGAGGCTTCTCTGGCTCGGAATATTTCCATTGTGGCGGGGCGGTATTTGCCAACGCAAAGATTTTGGATTCTGTGGAGGGATTAGAATTCAATCAGATCGTATGGAGCTGTCTTTCTTTACAGTCATTATGGTTAAAAACTGGATCTCATTACTTCTGCAATAGCAGCTCGTCAACGGTTTTCATTTATAAGCAAAGCCTGTTTCCTTCTTGCTCTTTTTGGACAGACATTATTGAAGAGTCATCAAAATTAGCACTGGGTCTTTCGTGGCCCCTTTCCCTCTCCAGCACTTTTTTTGGTCTCATCCAAGCTGGATAAACCCAATCCAATACTGATTTCTCAGAAATTGTCTTCATTCACTGAATAGCTCTGGATAACATCTCTGAAATCTTGCATACAAAGCTTGAGGAATTAGGTATTATCTAGCAAGAAAGGGAGGTTGCAGAAGCCCAGCTGGAAATGGCATCAACGGAAAGAAAGGGCTTACCTAAGCCATGGGTGCAGGGGTTAGGAACTGTCACACCTTGACGGTGTTAGAAGACGAGAGTAAAAGACTTTCGAGAGGATTGAAGTAAAGAGTTAGAAATGTGTTATCAAGCCCACCCAGGACTGCAAGGCAGAGCAGAATGAGGGGTTTTTCTCTTTAAAGCCTTCAAAAGGACCAGAGCCCAGGATCTCCCAGGAGATCACTCCAAAGACTGACAGGTGATACCACTGGAATACTTTCCTACTAGAGTTTAAATTACATTTGTGATAATTTTTCTTGAAAGTATACAAAGGGCTGAACAAAGACACTACACAGAAATCTAAATGTCTTTTAAATTTCTTGCTAATCCTCCTGTGTTATAAATCCTTTTAAAACACCCAGCATCCACTAGCATAATGATCAATAAACAATTATGAATAATACCTAAATCTTCAGCAAGTTATATTGCTATGGGTTAATATTTACCTAAATCCATCCCTTGATCAGTGTAGTTCCCCCTTCCATTCTCCCCCTCCACTTTGCTACAGTATTTGCTACTGATGTTTCTCCCCACACATCCTGGATTGAGGTAAAACAGAACCAATTTTCTTTTCATTCTTTTTATTTTTCAGTTAAGTCTCTTCTACCAGTCCCATTTGTTACTGGCCTGAGATCTCTTGTAGTTATGACTGCTTCCAAATCCCTTCCACTGAGGATTTTCCTTTCCATTTGTGTTCCTGCATTGTGACAATTTTCATTGCCCTACAAAGGAAAACCTCTTATTTTCCCAACCCTGTCTCCACTGCTTTTCTAAGCTGTGGTCAGTGACACATCCCCACGTCTGCCTGTAGCTGCTGACACACATGACAGGAGCAGAAATACCATGGTCCAACCCTCCTCTTTTCTCTCCAGCGTAAGGGTTAACAGCTTTCTAGTAAAACTGTGCCTTTGTTTTGCATTTTACCCTTCGAAAATCTTACCGTCTTGCTCAAGACAGGAGGATTTTTTTTTAGAAAGTGTTTTCTGTGATCTTTCAAAAAGCAAAAATAGTGACTCGGGTGTCCAAACCCCCTTTCCAGCACTGAATTCATGCTGTGACAGACTTTACAGCTATGACACGTCACTTTATTTTTTCTTAATCCAATTTTTTGTTGCAATCAGTGCTGTGACAGACTTTACAGCTATGACATGTCACTTGTAATTTTTCTTAATCCAATTTTTTGTTGCAATCATGCATTAAGCTAAGATTTGAAGTCCTTTAAAAAAAAAAAAAAAGCAGAATTTCCATTCCCAGTATTTTCCATGACCACTTCTGAAGTACATATTCAAATGTTCTGAAAGCTTAAGAGGAAAAAGAGGCACACGCTTATGGATCTCAAGAAGCAGTTGCAAGCACATGGTCCTTCCATATTTTCAATAAAATCAAAGCCTTTCCATATCCTTTCCTTCAAACCTTTTAGGCCGTACCTTTAAAAAACAGGAAATTAATATTTATGCAATTAAATATTTAATTTTCCTTCGAACAGTAATAATTTAGGAAGCCATCTCTGACAGACTGCCAGGAGAATGATTATTCAGTAGTTTGGGGAGTGCCCCGTCATCCCCGCTCTTCCTTACATTTTCAGTCACTAACGAACAAGTGCCAATCTGGCCAAGCTCTCTCTTTCCTCACACAGCTTTTCACCAAAAGAAGCCTGGAACCAAGGTAAATGACCTCCCCCACTCTCCCCCCCCCCCCCCCCCCGCCATCCTCTTTTAAAACTAATCCTCTTAAAGATTGTGCTAAGTAATGAAAGGATAGGATGAAAGAGGCCTTTTTCATTACTACCACATAAACTGCTTGTGTAAATGTTTCATTAACACACTGCTTGACCAGTATTTCGTCCTCCCTGCCCCCACCGCTGCTATGGTTCTACCGCAGCCTGCGAGGCGAAATGTGTGATTTACACATGTTTAAAAGAAACATTCCCACACTTGAATGCTGCACTATTCTTTAGAGAAGGAGAGACCTACAAAAAAACCAGGATGGACCTCGCCATCCTTTCTCCTGCCAACCCAAAAGCCAGGCATGAACCCAAGGACACGGTGTCCTAGGATAAAACCTGCCATGGTAACTTCTAGCCAGGTCTAACTA